ATAAAGGTGGTGTCAAACCAGTGTAATTTCGTGGAGTGCTGGGCAAAGCCTGCATGCTGTGCTGAAGTCGGGTTCTCTAGCAAGCGATGTTTCTCCTCCAGTCTGACGCAGTTCCACGAGCCAAATACTCGCTCTGCTTGTGCTCTGCAGTGCTGCGTGGAGATATCGTAATTGGACCGGATCTTTGGTATGGGTTTGAGAACGTTCGAGGCATGTAGTCTTTAAAAGAAACATAGAACCTGTAAGGGCCCTAGTATTCGCATCCGCAACATACGCCCAAGAAGCACGGGGGTTACCTTCAGCGCTTTTGCTCTCACCTCGCAGCCGGACCAGTCGTGTTCGCATTTCCTGTCCCTTGCCTTCAGAGTTACAACAAATTGTGCAGTGCAGCAACGTCGCGGCCTCTCCGATGTCATGTCACTATCGGGTGGGGGTGTGCGGGGAGGTCACTCAGGCAGGCCCACCCTGGGTCAAGTCGCCTTTCCAATGGACGGGACTGAGGAAGGGGTTTAGGGCTCTCTCTCTCTGTCGCTCTCGCTCGCCCGCCCCCATGAAAAGGTTGACGGTTTACATTTCATCATCGTATCAGGAAGGTCTGCCAGCAGCTTGTGTTTGCAGATCACTCCATGCACACGTCAAGTTTGCTCCTGCCGAAGGCCGCCTTGACATTCGCGCTGATTGATTCTCCTTTTTTGTGCGCATTCGATGAGGGTCGTAGAAGCCCAGTAACGCCCACCTCACCTCGCAAGAGTAGCCATCGCCGGACCGTGCTGGGGATGTCCCGGGTAGCGGCAGTCTGGCGCCCGTCAGCATCGAAGACTTCAGCTACCCAGAGCACACATGAAAGTACCTCGTCCCGAGTGCGTTTACCGACTGCCCAGTCGCAACGATGGTTCTGAGACAGTTAACTCATCCCCTCTGCATGTTCGAACGAGGGTTGCTGTCAGAGATCCTCCTTCCGTGCTCAATCAGTCCGTTCGAGATGATTTGGTTGGTGCCTGGAACGAAGCCGCGTCCTCCTGACCCGGAGGCGGTTCGGGTCGTAGTGCCTGCAGCATGCAGCAGATCATCGCACGACTGTCGTGTGATCCCAGTCTCATTGGCTTGCGTCGGGAAGTCAGGCTGAAAAAGGTGGCCTCAGGACGGGCCTGATTCCGGTCGTGTTGATCACGGCCTGGCTTGTCCTGGATCGCGAGTTGCGAGATCGAGCCCATCGAACAAATCTGAAGACTGCAGTGTCCATGTTCTGCCAACATCCAGGCAGGTACTGGCATGGCTGCTGTAGGGCTGGCTTTTGCGGAACAGAATCGGCCTGGCATCCGGTGCAAAATGAAGTACTGGTAATGTAGAAGCACAGGACTCGGCAAACGGGCCATTGAGACCTCATGGTGTCGGCACAGTGGACGATGCAGACTGGGGCATGGTAGTCGTTGCGTGCAGCTGGGGGCCTTGCCACCGGCGCTGACTGTGGAAAGGCTTCGGCTCGAAAAACTTGCTTCTTCCTTGTTGTACACTTCATTGGAACCTGGTCCAGCCGTCGCATCTTGCTCCGGGAGGCAGTGTAC